AACTCAGCAGTGGCCAGAGGACTGGAAAAGATGAGTCTACATCCCAATTCTAAAGATGGGCAGTGCCAAAGAATGCTCCAACTACCATACTACTGCACTCATTTCAGATGCTAATAAGGTTATGCTCAAAATCCTACAAGGTAGGCTTCAGCAGTATGTGGACCAAGAACTCCCAGAAATACAAGCTGGATTATGAAGGGGCAGAGGAAGTAGAGACCAAATTGCTAACATGCGCTGGATTATGGAGAAAGCCAGAGTTCCAGAAAAACATCTACTTATGCTTCATTGACTAAGCAAAAGCCTTTGACTGTGTGGACCACAACAAACTATGGCAAGTTCTTAAAGAATGGGAGTGCCTGATCACTTTATCTGTCTCCTGAGAAATCTATACGTGGGACAGGAAGCAACAGTAAGAAATGGATATGGAACAACTGATTGGTCCAAAATTGGGAAAGGAGTACAACAAGGCTGTAGATTGTCTTCCTGCTTATTTAATTTATACATCATGTGAAAGGCAGAACTGGATGAATCCCAAGATGGAATTAAGATTTCCAGAAGAAATAGCAACAACCTCAGATATGCAGATGATACCACTCTGATGGCAGAAAGTGAGGAGGAATTAAAGAACCTCGTAATGAGGGTGAAAGAGGAAAGCACCAAAAATGATTTGTAGCTCAACATCCAAAAAATTCAGTTCTTGGTCACTGGTCCCATCACCTCCTGGCAAATAGAAGGGGAAGATATGGAGGCATTGACAGATTTGACTTTCTTGGGCTCCATGATCCCTGCAGATGGTGACACCAGCCACAAAATTAAAAGATGCCTGCTTCTTGGGAGGAAAACGATGACAAACCTCAACAACATCTTAAAAAGCAGAGACATCACCTTGCCAACGAAAGTCCGCATAGTCAAAGCTATGGTTTTTCCAGGAGCGAAGTATGGAAGTGAGAGCTGGACCATAAAGAAGACTGACTGCCAAAGAATGGATGCTTTGTGGTGCTGGAGGAGGCTCTTGAGAGTCCCCTGGACTGCAAGGAGAATAAACCTATCAATTCTAAAGGAAATCAACCCTGAGTGCTCACTGGAAGGAGAGATCCTGAAGCTGAGGCTGTAATACTTTGGCCACCTCAAGAGAAGACTCGCTGGAAAAGTCCCTGATGTTGGGAAAGTGTGAAGGCAGGAGGCGAAGGGGATGACAGAGAACGAGATGGCTGGACAGTGTCATCAAAGCTATCAACATGAATTTGACCCAACTCCAGGAGGCAGTTGAAGACAGGAGGGCCTGGCGTGCTCTGGTCCATGGGGTCACAAAGAGTCGGACACAACTTAACAACTAAACAGGAACAACAATTGTTTTTAAAATTATTTTTTACTGTAATGTCTTCTAGATTCAAGTGTGTCACTGGTCATCATAGAAAGATAGATGAAAACTCTTAGGTTTCAACCCCAAAATATATTTGTTCTGGGCACCAGAACTGAGGGAAACCTTATAGTCTTCACACATGCATATTCAGTCCTGGTTATCTCAAGAGTTCATCCCTTCAGCAGTAAAATTTATAGGAGAGAAAGTCTTTTGTTGCTAATGCTGTCAAACACATATGACACACTTAATTAAAACAACATGTAGACACAATCCAGACAATTGCCATGCTATGTGAATTACTTAAACAAAATAGCAGACAATGGGGAATTAGATCAGGAGCACAGTGGAGACAAATGGTTAAAGCCAATGTATCTTCCATCCCAACAGGGCACCTATCCAGATTAGGGACATGCTGTCAAATACATATGACAAAATTAAAACAACATGTAGACACAATCCAGACAATTGCCATGCTATGTGAATTACTTAAACAAAATAGCAGACAATGGGGAATTAGATCAGGAGCACAGTGGAGACAAATGGTTAAAGCCAATGTATCTTCCATCCCAACAGGGCACCTATCCAGATTAGGGACTACCACATCTGTTATTCACTCCTAAAACACCTTTCACATAACTGTTAGGTGTACAAGAGGCACCTTATTCCATTTAGACCTTAAATTACCACTGTGTTCCATACAACAGAAACTTGAACCTCAGCATCTTGGTTGCTTTCTTCTCAGAAAATAACCCAGAGACATCACCTAGCCCAAGATGCTGTGGTCAGAACTGTACCTGGTCCACCTAACCAGAATAGCATGAAAGGATTCCATTCCAAAGGAAATGCCTGAGTTGCCTATTGGCTTCAGTGCCCAATTCAAAGGGCTTACCTCTGAACCTATTAAAGCAGGGGTTCCTGACCCTGGGGCCCCGGATGTTCTTGGACTAGAACTCCCAGAAGCCTTCACCAGTAGCTGTGCTGGCCAGAATTTCTGGGTGCTGCAGTCCAAGAACACCTGGGGAACCAATGTTGGGAACCCATTGCCTTTAATGGCTTGAGACACAAGTATTTGTAGCAGTGAATTTCTGCCTCCCCACTTCAGCCTGCCCTTAGAGGCACGTCTTGAACAAACTCAAGCAGTTTATGTGCTGAATCCAACTCTTAGTCCCAACTCAAGTAGACCCACTGGATCAATAGGATTTCCACAAGTGTTGACTTACAATAAAACATTTGACAGTTGGTCTACTCTGAGATTACCAACTTAGTTTAGGCCTGGTGACCAGGGAGACACAGCCTTATCTGCTGTAGCACCCTAATCATGGGATATACGCTGCCCCCATGAAGATACAATTCCTACCATCACTGCAGCCTTTTTTTAATCACCAGCACAAACCCTTCTTGCTTGTCCAGACATTTAACTGATGGTTTGATGTATTTTCCTTCCTTGATTATAACTTGACAATATGATTATATTTTTTCTATTGCATTTGCCTGACATATTTGATCATCCTCTTATGCAGCATTCTGGCATCTTTTAAGATGAAGGGAAGCTCTAAAATACTGGGTGACATAAAAAATGTTTTTTACTGAATTCTCACTGTTTACAGGAAAATGACAGTGTCAAACCATCTCTGATCTCGGAGGATTTAAAGGCAAGAGGAAAGGGGTAACAGAAGTAACAGAAGCTAAATCAGAGCTCAATATAAATGATTTTTGAACAATCAATCTGAAACATTCAAGTATATTTGGAGTAATACGCTCACTTTATTTTTATTTGTATTAACTTGAAGAACAAGTATCTCTATTATCTGATGCCCTGGGAATCAAAGAGAGCCAGCAGAATTTCTAGGGATTTTGTCAGAATATCTAATACTATCTTGCTAAATAATCTTACTAAGATTACTAATATACTTTTCTTTTATTAAACCTAAGGAACATGGAGCCAAGTAACTTCAATATTTAAGTAAATAATCCGAGCAAGATATTAAACAGAAGAGATCTAGTCAGAATAAAAAGCATATTGTTCAGAACAGTATCTGTCATCACAGCCTACGAGGTGATCCTAACAAATATATTAGATGGCCATGATGGTAGTTGGTACTGAACAAAATATAACAAAAACGTACAATTGCACACCATTTCAACCACAACATCATGTTGGAGCAACCCAGAAATGTTATCAAATTCAGAAAAATGTTGACTAAGGAAATCACATTGTTTTGAATGTAAGGATGAGAAATTATTTCATTTGATTTCTAATTACCGATCAAAGCCTCCATTTTGCTATTTCCAATAAACAGCACACAATGCCTTTGAAATCTGTTTATCTGCAAGACTTGCAATATATACTATAACAGGGGTCTTCAAACTATGGTCCACGGGCCACATCTGGCCCACCTTGCCTTTTTATCCAGTCTGGCAAATGCCACAGGCTCAGGTCCATTCCGTTCAGCGCGTGCATGTGTTCCTTCGGCCCTCAAACATGTGTAAAATATATTATGTGGCCCTCATGCTGAAAACCTGGGAGACTCCTGTACTACAAAAATGAAATACAGTACTGTATGCACAAAAACAATGAGCACATTTTCGGCCCTCAAACATGTGTAAAATATATTATGTGGCCCTCATGCTGAAAAGTTGGGAGACTCCTGTACTACAAAAATGAAACACTGTATGCACAAAAACAATGAGCACATTTTATAAACGAAAACAAAAAATCAAAGCAAACACCTGGAAATATACACAAATGCAAATTAATTAATGGGGAAATGTGCACATTTAGAAGGTGTGCCTTGTTTTGTTCGTGTGATAAAAACTGCACCATTTCTATTGAGAAAAGGGGAAAACTAGTTTTGCAACTCAACATGGAACAAGGGCTGGATCATATGCAAGTAAAACCTGGAGGAATACAACAAAATCAGACTGACAAGACTTTCACATCCCTCCTCTTGCTATGCCAGTTTTTTTTCCTTACCTCAAGCATAGGCCGAGCGCTATCATGGATTGAAAGAATATGGGTTATGTTATTCCTTTTCAGTTGTTCCACATCACGAGCATCTACAGAAAAAGAATAATTAACATCATCATTCATATTTAATTTCATTACTATATAGGAAAACGTAATTCTGAAAAATGGCCCTCCTTTATTAAGAGAGTAGCATTGAGTTACTCATGTGGAGAAGCAAGGCTGTTTTGAATAATCTTACCACCATCACCCCAAACAAGGATAATGCACAGGCCACATCAATGCTTAAAAAACAATAACCATGGAAACAAGAATGATCTAACGAGCAGTGTATTAGGCTACATTTGGAAGAAATAGCTTCAAACTTCCACAGTGCCATGAATATCACAAGGTGACTTTGGCCCAATTGCTGTCTCTCAGCCTTACCTATCGTGCAGGGTTGATTGTGAGGAGCAAATATAGGAGACCCATGCCTAATTCTTTTTTTCTTTTTTCTTTTTTCTTTTTTTTGGAAGTTTAAACAGAGAACCATACACATAAATTGTTCTGGGCTATTTTTTGTAAAATCAGTCGAAAACAGGCATGGACCACAAGATTTGCCAGTATGATAAAGCAAAGCATGCTTGCTTGTGTACCACCCTATAGCACTTAAAGCTCTCTCTGGACAGTTTACAATTTAATTATGCGGACTATACAATGCCTCCCACAGCAAGCTGGGTATTCAATTTACCAACCTCGGAAGGATGGAAGGCTGAGCGAAACTCAAGCCAGTTACTTATGACTGAATCCAGGTTGTGAGCAGAGTTTGGCTGCAATACTACAGTTTCTCCTCTGTGCCATGAGGCTCAAATTCATTTGAGCTCCGATGCCTTTAAAATTCATCTGTCCGGTGTGAAACCAGCAGTGGTTAAATCTATCCTTTATCTATCCTCATAGTTCTTATGTATTGAGTGTTACCTTTGATTCAAACAAAATTTTAAAAATAGTCAAAACTAATCTTAAAACAGCTTAGAACAGCATAGTATGGGGTCTGTGGGGAATCCACAGGGTTGAGGTAGGTGCCACAGTGAAAAGGTCTATCACAGATTTACTCACAGTTAATACAATCAACAAGTTTTGAGCTATGGGAAACAAACACATATACTCCACCACCCTCCTCCCTTCACGTATCCTCTGTTCATGTAGTTATTTCCACGTTCAACATTATTTATGTAGGTTATCATTTCTGCTACCTTCAAAACTAAGATTGCAAAATAGTTTGAAATAGATCAAGCAGCAAACCACAACCTGCTGTTCCACCAAGAATAATTAATTAAAAGGAGTGAGGTGGGAATCAGAGAGCCCTCATGGGCTCATCTTTGGCAGGCCTATGCATCCCTATTCTTCCCACTATGCTAGAGTTCCCAATTAGACAGCACACTCATACATTACTGCTAGCAAATAAATCAATTTGGGGAGGGGGTTTCCTCCGAGGGGTAGATCCTCACACAACAAGTAATCACTTCCCCTGGAAAGTTATCAGTTAGACAAAGACACATTTCTTCCTGTCGCATCAGGAAGGAGGTTTGATGTTCACAAAAAAAGAAAACAAAAGAGGTTGTTCCAAGAGTTGACCAAAATTTCTCCACAGCAAACTCAAGTCATCAACGTGCCACAGAGCTGGGCAGGGCACAATATTGTATTTCAACTGGCAATCTGAGCTCACTGAAATTCATTGCTAAGCCAAAAGATAACTACATGGAGAAATGCTACATTTCTTCTATAATTTAATAAAAACTAATGACTTTGGGTCTGGGAACCTATGTGGTATACTGAATAGAGTGTCAAACTATGACTTAAGAGACCTGGGTCCCAATCTCTGCTCAAGAAGCCCACTGGAGGCTGGCCATTCCTGGAACATTTCATCCATCCAAAAATTCTATTAGCCTTATTATAAATTAAAAGCAACTTAATGACAGACAATAAATGAATATGGAGGTGCAGACTGTTTCGAAGAACAGACTCCTTGGGAACCGCCCCTTGTACAGTATTTTCTTTCAGTGTGTCAGCAAATATATCTTCTCTATCAACGTGATAGAACAGGCTATGCTCTGTCTTTGGATTTGCTGCTGGAATACAGCTGTGTTTGTACCGTGATGATGCACAATCCTGACAGGGTGCTTACATCCAGATAAACCAACCCAGTCTTTGAGGAGGAAGCCCTACTTACCAAACCAAAACCTACTGAAGCTCCTGTGACCATTGTGCGGGGGGGGGGGTTCTCTCTTGTGGCACTCCACCACGTGGAATGATCTCTCCAGTGAGGCCAAGACATAGACATCCAAAGGGAGGTAGCTGGGCCACCAACTCAGATGATCTGCTTGCCAATTATTCTTCCCAATTATTAACCTTGTCACTATCATTTTAATGAAATATGTCTTCATGTAGCTAAACTCTTTTTCAAAGCATTCTGCTAATAATTTGGTCTTTATGTCCTTTATTAGCTGATCTTGGAATATATTGTTTTAGCTGAAAAACAATATAACAGTGTTCTAGAATAAATATCACCCGACTACCCCATCGCTAGTTCCAATGCAGGCCAAAAACCTAATGCTCAGTTGGTAAGATGAGAAGGCCGCTGGTTCTATATGGAAGAAACATGGATGGACTTGATGGCCTTATAGGCCCCTTCCAATTTCACTTTTCTATGATTCTATGAAAGTACCTGCCCTGTTTTGATGGGACTGCACCATAGTCTTGAGTGTCATGAAGCACATTTCTCTGGTTTCAGCTGGGTGCACTAGCTATGGTCTTTCCAGAGCTTAGAAAAGTACAGTGGTGCCTCGCACAACGGGCGCCTTGTAGAGCGATGAATTCGCTCTACGAGGCCGGTTTTGCGATCGCAAATGCGATCGCAATACGGTGCCCGCATAGGGCGAAAATCTCAGAGCGAAGGGCGGTAAGCGGTCCGCTTACCGACCTTCGCTTTGCGACCCGCCGATCAGCTGTTCGGCGGCTACAAAATGGCCGCCGGACACCCCAAAATGGCCACACGCAGTGTTTTCGCGCCCTCGTAAAGGCAGGGGAGGGCGTGAAAATGGCTGCCGGCCATAGGGAAGCATCGCTGAACGGCGAGTATTTGGCCCAATTGGAACGCATTAAACCATGTTTAATGCGTTCCAATGGCTTTTCCTGCCCCGTTCAACGATCCTTTCACACAGCGAGGGTTAATCCGGAACGGATTAACCTCGCTGTGCGAGGCACCACTGTAATTTCTTGGAAATTGCAACCTGAAGCCTAGAGCTTCAAATTAATACGTCACTACTTCTGCACTGGTCAGAACCCAACTGCATATTTACACTTGCAAAAAATGGCAAAAAGATTTTACCAATTTTTTTTAAACACAGGTGACAGAGCTGAATGCAGGAAAATGGAGCACTTCACAGAATATGCCATTTTTATAAAACTCCTTTGGTTCCATAGGCCATTGCCTCCCATTCTGGTAACAAAGATGATTTGGAGAGATGAAAGTTCATTACGATGTCTGACAAGTTGCTTTTTCCTAGGGTTGGGGGAGGCTGATTCCTAGAAAGCTTTGTGAATGTATGTACCTAGGAAAATAAACAGCAGCAGAACTGCCTACTTGTGCATGTTTTTTTTTAAAAAAAAAATCCTTTGGGGCATGGCTACAGGGACCGTCATGACGAGTACCTGCATTTTGAAATTTACTGCTGCACTGCCATATTCAGATTATGGATCTATCAATCTTCTCGCTTTAGATAGCAGACTAAAGGGAAAGGAGCAATAGTCAAACTGCTTCAACAGCCACTGTAACAAACAACATTCAGTTACCTTGACTCACTTGCCACTAGTCACTTCTCTATTTACACCTGTCTTATTTATTTATTTATTTATTTATTGGATTTATATACCACCCCATAGCGCTACAAGCACTCTCCGGGCGGTTTACAATTTTAATTACACAGGCTACACATTGCCCCCCCAGCAAGCTGGGTACTCATTTTACCGACCTCGGAAGGATGGAAGGCTGAGTCAACCTTGAGCCGGCTACCTGGGATTTGAACCCCAGGTCGTGAGCACAGTTTTAGCTGCAATACAGCATTTTAACCACTGCGCCACGAGGCTCTTAAATTAACTTCCTCCAATACTCATGCATAGATTATAAACTAAGCTACTTTTTAATCTGCAGATCTCCATTCATTTTGTTAAGGATTTTTTCCAACCTGGCATAACAGTAAAGTCAATACATTTTCTCTTTGTTCTACAGTGGGGTCTCTACTTAAGAACTTAATCTGTATTGGAAGGTGGTTCTCAAGTGGAAAAGTTCTTATGTAGAATCTGCATTTCCCATAGGAATGCATTGAAAACCATTTAATCCGTATCTGCTCTTTTCCGTCCATAGAAACTAATGGGAAGCTGCTATTCCACCTTCTACCACTAGAGGGGGATTTTTTCTTTTTTTTCCCCTTAGGTCAGGGAACAGTGTTAAAAGCACTTCTGACGAAGCTAATTTTGAAGCAATGGACTGAAAACCAATTAATCCGTTCTGGCTGTTTTTTTTATGTAGAGGTGCGTTCGTACACTGAAGCATTAGTTCCCATAGGAACTAATGCAAAGCTGGTTAATACGTACTCTACCACTAGGGGGAGAACTTTTTTTTTAACCTGAGATGACCTAAGGTTAAAAAAAGAGGAGGAAAGTTTTTTTTTCCTGTTCTTATCTTGGATTTTTGTTCTCAAGTAGAAGCAAAATTTAGCAAATGGAGCTGTTCTTAAGTGGAATTGTTCTTAAGTAGGGACGTTCTTAAGTAGAGACCCCACTGTAGTTGTCTTATGTAGAGGCTGTGATGAGAAAAAATGTTCTCTATTCCAATTTCATTTTAAGAAAGAGAGCAAGACAGAAGCATTGCTAGTCCTCTAGACTGAAAAAACGAAACTATTTTCAAATGTTTGCATACACAATCTGGTTTTTTCTTTTTACAGATTGCTTCCAGGTTGTATCACGTTTTACAGCATTTTGTGTAACAAGCCAACAGGGATGGAGCCCTAAGCAGGGAGAGCTTTGATCCTGATCTCTCTGGTCTATCCAGAGT